ACAATCTGTGAATATGGGTCAAAATTTTCCGTAGACTGACCACTTAAATATGAACAAATTCTTCACTATTGAATATAAATCAAAAATTATCACTTATGAATAGATTTTTCTTTAATTAATAATAAACTTTAGAAAATTTTTAATTTTTTGTAAATGTTGAGAACATTCCATACAGAATTTTTTTTAATTTTTCTTCAAAAATGTAAAATTTTTTTTTATAACAATAACAATTTTTAGATATGAACTATTTATTTATTGAATTAATTTAATATTATTAAAAAATGTTTACACTATTAATATAAAATATTGTGAAATTTAAATTTAAACAAATCAAAGAAAAATAAATTGTTGTTTGGAATGGTCAGTGTATTCATCATCGTGTGTCACACCGTTCGAATATTTCGATTTTTATTAAATACCCTCGTGAGAACCCATATTTGTCACCCGATATTTGCCACATCGTTCTGATCACTTGCTTGATTACGAACCAATATAATTAACGAATTCAAAATTTTCGTTGGGTAGCTTCTGTCCACTCACGTGATTCATGTACCCAAATATTACAACAGTTTCTGTTTCCTATTATAACGAAAATAATTTAAAATTCGGTTAAAATAATGACTAGAGAAAATCTGGTACTATTTAATATCAGATATGCACATTCATCGGGTTAACGTTATTCTGTACATATAATAATTTACTTTATTTTAGTATGATTTTTGACTTTTGATTACAAAATGTATTTATTTTTTTTTTTTTAATAAAAGTGTAACCTTGGATGTTGCCAATTTTCAGATACATTATATACATACATATAGTGATGTTTAAATATTATGGGTCAAAAACATTCGAAGTATCACTATATCAAGCAATATCATTATGAATAAATAATAAACTCTATAAAAGTCAGTTCAACCAGATAAGGTATTACTCTTGCTTATATATTTATTATTTTCATAGAGACTTCAATTTTTAGGTGACTAGAAACAACAAAAAATTAAATATGTGAACGAGAAAATAACCCCATAGGTAATTATCATTTTCGGGTAATTATGCACCACAGTATCTCACGTACAATAATGGAATAATGGATAAAATCATTTTTCATCTGACAAATTTTAATAATTATATTTTTAAAATATTTTATTAGTTTACAATTTTGTGACCGAAAGAGTTATTGACATACAAATTCGGCAATGCGTTTATATTTTGTGCCATTTCAAAAAAAAGTATCATTCATTGGTTCGTTTTATACATTATAACATGACATTAATATCAAATGACTGGAAGTAAGTAATTTTGAATTTTCTAACGATTATTAAAATCATTATTATTTTGTCAAGAATGGGTAAAACTTGTGGAATAATAATTCTTAAAGAATTATTATTCTTATTTATATTGCATTGTTATTCATATTGTTATTCTTATTATATTTTTTCAGTTAAAAAAGATGATTTATATGAAGAAGTTTTTCTTAATGCTTTTAAATTATGAGATTTTCTACGTTGTCTAATAGAAGATGTATTATTACTAGTGGTGTTAATGATAGTGATGGAATTAGAAGGATGGTGGTAGGATGTTCCATTAATGTTATTATTATTGGAATTGAATTTGGATTAGATGAATTGGAAGAGGTTTAACCAGGTTGACAACTGTGAGTACATTCCATCTGACTGAAGTACAATATTTGTCCACGTAATTATTAGGTAATATAGTTAATTAAATTATAAGGTGCATCTCAACATACCATTTCTGAACAGATGGGACAGGACCAACGCGCTCGTGCACTTTCCTGACCTGATACGAACCGTTTTAACGCAAGAAATTTTTGGAAACATATATGAATGAATGGAATGAATAGGCATTTATGGTCACATATATTTTTCTATATTTATTTAAATCATTTAGGCCATTTTCAAATTAAGTAAATTTAATATACAAATGTTATATGCATGTTTAAGTCCTTTTTTTCGGAAAAAATATGTCGCCGAAACTTGGGTAGCAATAAATTTAGATTATAACCAATAAAATTTAATGCAAGATTAAAAAAAAATAAACACATCCAATCTGAATTTCTTTTTTCTTGGCAAACAAAAGACTAAACATATATTTGTGATAGGTGATATATGTAAATTAAATTTAAATATTCGGATTTTGTATACAGTAAATTTTTCTTTTTGCTGCATAAATTTATGAATCATAAATCACACAGTTGTGATAACCACTTTTGATTGTCAAAATGTATTAAACTTAATAATAAAATCGCGATTTACGGAGCATTTAAATAACAGTATAAATAATAATTATCTAACACTAATCGTAAGCACACAGCAGTTACTACATAAAAAACTATTATTTTTCTTAATTTGATTGCATATAAAAAAAAATAAAATTTTTAATTTTTTATTCTGCTAAACTTCTCTTACCTTCTCTTTGAATCTGCGTGTTAAATATATTTATTTATTATAAATTAATTTTGAGAAACTCAATAAAAAAAATTATGTCAAATATTAATACCATAATAATGTAAACCTAATAACAGTTCCTTTAGTGTAAATGAAATTGTACAATTCATTTAAAAAATGGAATAAAGAACAATCAAACTATGAATCAATTTATGATTTATCGAAAAGAGTATAATCATATAGTTGCACATGAACTTAAAGATATTTCTAAATCTTCTAGTATTTCATGTCAAAATGAGCTAGAAGATGTTACCGACCCGTGGAAAAAAAAAGTGAAAAAATTTTTCAAAGAAAAGGACCTTTTGTTTCATCAATAGTAATCAAGTTACGGAGATAGTACGAATGATAACTACGTCCCTTTAGATACCTCTAATCTTTCATTTAATATGAATCATATTTCTTCCACCTCTCAATCTGGATCATCACTAATTACTCTAATTATCCATTTTTTTTAATGTGGATCAAGACGTTATCTACTCGAACCCTTTGGTAATTTTAAAAATGATCTTTATGAATGTCTGACTACGGATGAAGATGAATTTATGAATTACCTTTTTAAAGATTTGGCAATAACGTATATTCAATTATTGCCAATTTAATGACTATATTATATAGTGAAAACATGATACAATTATAAATATGAATGAAGATAAATACATCAGATTTTGTTTGGCCTTTTTTTTTTTGTAGAATTGGTTAAACTTATCAACAAGGAATCTTTAGATTTATATTTAAAATGGAATACTACAATAGTTATTTTTAATTTTAACTTAACTTATACTATATTTTGAAAAGAAATATGATAATTAAATATTATTTGTCGTTCTTTCGACACAATAATAAATTAATGGATTCGAGATTAGAAATTTTTTTATAACTTATTTGATGCGTTACATAATAATAAAATTTAATAACTCTTCTTGTTATAAGACAATAATAATCCAGTTTCTACCATTTTTATATATGTAATCATAATGGATACTGATATTTATAATTTTTGAATAATTACTATTATTAATAAAGAATAGAAATTAATAAACCTATACAATTTATCTAAATAATAATTTTAATAAAAGCATCAAAAGAAAAGTTAATACTAGAAATATCAAGAGATGTAAAGTTTTGAGTTTTTATTTTTATTTTAAGCATTTTAAGCGTAGATTATAGACGCTTAATATTTAATGATAATTTTAGTTGTTTTATCAAAAATATTTACAATGTAAATGTTTCTGTGTAGGCAAACAAGCTTTATTTTCCAGTATTTTTAATTTTTTAAATTTTTTTTTTCCAACGGGAGTCATGCTCCAATAAACTTTTATTAATATATTTATATATATTTAGTTATATGGAAATTTATTGTACATTTGTGGATAATGTAAATTTTAATTTTTTATAATTTAATGTAAAAATTTCATGTATAAATAAATAAATGAAAATGAATTTAAATATATATAATCGAGAGATCAATTAACTATATATTAATTAATATTAAATAAAAATGAAAAAAAAAATATACACACATATATGTTTTGTTTCGTATTTCAAGACTGCGAAGAATTTGTTTGGTCCTTTTTTTTGACATTATATTAATTATTATATCTGTTGATTTATTATATTTTATTATATTGAATTGCTCTTTATTCTAATATTTTTTTCCTTTTTTTTAATATGCAGCCGTTTGGTGTATTTTGATGTATATAACGTAACTATTGTATAATTCTTATGAAACAAAATGTAGTTATTTGGTTGATACATTCCGTTAATGATAAAATGATATTTTCGGCATTCTTTTATAATAACATTCTTCAACCTTTGTCATTTAGAAGTTTCAATATGATAAAAAAAACAAAGACAGCAAGTTATTAAAAAAAAATTTTTTTGATATACTGTATGTAGTATATTTTATTTATTTAGCCAATAAAAAAATAAAGATCTTCTAAATTCATAATTATTTTTCCGATCTTGTATAAAAAATCTTATAGTACATATATACATTCGTTCGGTTATACAATCAATATATTCGTTGCGTTATACAATACAATATATTCGTTGCGTTATATAACATTATATAATGTACTATATAATACATTTTAACATTTATTATGTAAAATCCGATTTCCTTATTTGGTGAAGGTCTAAAAATTATTTTGAAAGTGTACATAACAACATTAATTATTAATACAATTATTATATTATTGAATCTGTATCTGTATTAAAACTTATATTAATATATAAATATTTTTTTTTGATTCTCATATATAATTTAGAAATATAATGAATATATAATTCTTTTTATATTGAAATATCAGTCTAGAAATATAAAGGAATGTATATTTAAGAACGCAAAATTCTTTTTTTTAATTATAAAGAATATATAAAAATATAAATATAAAAAACACAAAATGAAATTTTTTTTTAATTCCCAACATTTTGTATTAGCTAAAATATAAAGAATATATAAAACCATGTCGTATTTCAGACTTACAAAACTTTCTCGTTTTTTAATCTTGTGTTTATTAACTGAATAACGCCACAAACACAATATATGCTACATAAATGCAATATAAATATATATAGTCGAGATATCAAATATAGTTTTTTTTTTTAAGACTGCTTAGCCCCAAAATTTCCTAATATAAAATTTTTAATGGTTATATTTAGCGCATATGTACATATTTTCTTTTCACGTGTGGCGTATTAATTGTTATCCCACAATAAAACACAAAACAAATACAAAAATAAGAAGATTCCGCAGGACGGAAGGCGCATTCCAAAACGGTTAAATTTAGTTTCGGCTTTTATTTCTGACGTATTCCAACGGATCAATACCATCAAATTCTTTATTAGGGACTTTCTCAACCACAAATTTTTGTTAGCAACCTGTTTATTTCAAGATTGAAGTTTTGTTTATTTTAGATAAATAAAACTTAACATGAAGTCAAAAAGAGTAGCGAATCTCTTAAAATCATGTAACAAAAATATTATAAATTAATTTTGAGAAGAACCCGTCTTAACGAAAATTTGTTTTTTATAACTTAATTAAATATGTCAACAAGTGAAGATGAAATTGTACGTGAAATTGTAGAAATGCATTTAAAAAATGGACTTAAAAATGTTAATCGTACTTTGATCCCATTTTTGATTTATAGAAAAAATTGTGCGCTCCAAAATTCTAACCTTTCAAGGAATGATGCATCAAAACTAGCGAGTGAATCGTGGAAAAGGGTATCAAACGAAATCAAAGACCGTTATAAAATTATGGCAGAAAATGTAAAAAAAGAGTTTAAAAAAAGAGTTGATTCCCTTTGTTTATTCACTGCAATCTAGCTGGTACGAATGATACTGAAACCAACCCTATGCTAAACTCATCAAGCACTACCTGCCATAATCCTCTTCTCAGCCAGACCTCTTCAGGCACTTCCACCTACATTAATCCTTCTCCTTTCAATTCTCCTATCAATATTTATTCTAGTCATCAAATTGTAAATATGAATCCAGATATTATATACTTAAATCCTCCTATAGACCAAAACTTTCTAGGTATTACTTCAGACACTACCTGCTATAATCCTTATAATCCTCTATTAATAAATATAGATCAAAACTTTCTAGACACTACAGACGTCAATTTTCCACCTTCAAATCTTATTTATTCTAATCATCAATTTATAAATATGGATCAAAATTCTCCAGATATTGCCTACTTTTTTTCCTCCTATAAACCAAAACTTTCAGGAAATTACTTGCCCTAGCTCTCTGAATATAAACCAAAACACTTCGGATACTACCTGCCATAATCCTACATTTATAAATATGAACCAAAACCTCTTTGATACCAATTACTCAATTGTACGATTTACATTTTGCAAAATATTTATACTCACACCGTGTCTAGTCAAATTGGGACTTCAAATTGGTACGAAGATTATAGAATTATACTGAATAATAATTAATGAATTCGATATAACGAGTAAAAAATGGGGACCACATTAAATATTCATTACATTGACTGTATTTAGTATGATTCTTAAATTAAAGAAAATAGAATGAATAGTGTTTCTTTCGATTAAAAATTTATTTATTTTCTCTAAAAACGTAACTTTATATATTTCTAAGTTTCAGATATATTATATATATACACGGTATATGATATAAATATTATTTATCAAAGTGTAGAATTACATTTAGTAATGATACCACTTTATATATTATCTATTATAAATAATGAACTCTATAAACTAACAAACTAGGTATTACTATATCACTATATTATAATTATATTTATCAACACTTATTATTGCTATGGAGACACAGTAAATTCATCTATTTAAATCTAGTATTTGGATTATTTTTTAATATTGACTAGTATAAATAAGTTCGGAGATTACAAGTTAAAATTTTTAAATTAACAACATATAATGGCATCTAGAGAGATTGGTTATAGGAAGTTTGGTTTCTAGAGATATGTAATTATAATTTGTGCCAACTCGAGTAGGGATAATTTCTTTAAAATATTTTTTACCCTCTTATATTTTAAAATTTATATTTTGTATTTACATCTTTATAATAAGTTATATATTTTTTATATTTTTAATTGAGAGACGCTCAGCGCCACAAAAATTAAATGTCATCGTTTATAATAAACCATTACATTTAAAATTATAAATGTTCTAATTAAAATATGAAATATTTGAATATTTATTTATTTTACATTTTCGATATTTGAGAATATCGATACAAAGAAACTTTTCTTTGCACAATATTCCTTTATTCTATGATTTAATAATAACAACTTCGGGATTAATAAGAAAAAAAAGGGTGAACAAATGACTCGTATAAAATTAAATTCTTTCGCAAAGGTGCAAATGCGCCGTTTATCTGTTGTACACCATTCATTGAAGTTGTGATAATCCACCATCTGATATTTATTACCACCTATTCCAATGTTGGTAGACTCGTAACATTTGATGTTAAATATTATCGTTGTGGATGTTGTTGTGGATGTTGTATTGATGAATATTGTGAATATTGTAAAGATGTGATGATGGAGTGGTAGTGTTGGTGTCAATCTTTAATATCATGAATATCTTCATTATGTTTGTATTATTATTATTGCTAATTCATTCAATTCCTTTAATTCCATTTTTCGTGATCCTCCACTGTTAATGATTGTGAAATAAGTAAATGGAAATTTGTAATGATTCCTTTGAAAATACGCTTTTAAATATTTTTAATATAAAAATAAATTGACTAGAATTTTGATTTTGAACTAGTACATATTCCAATTATTTTAACTTTTAATTCGGTGCAGTGGCACGTGAAATATCCAGATCGTTATATATTATGATTATACCTTTTTGCTTTAATAAAATATTTAATTTATTATCTATTATATATTTGAAACGTCAAATTATTAATCTCTCTCAAATAAATTAAATAACTACAATTGAAAATGCCGATTTTTTACCAAGAGTTATACCCAATAATTTACTTCAACGATTGACTAATTGCCTTATAAGTTAATGCCATTTCTTCAGAAAGATGGTCCATAAATTTTTCTTCATCCATAGTCACATATTCAAGAAGATCATTTCTAGATACAAGAGGATGTTTTATATTAAGGGGTGGAGGAAAGTTTTGATCCATATCAAGCGAAGGATTAGAGGTATCTTGATTATCATTTGTTATATTACTATTGATAAAACAAAGAGAAGGAACCTTTTCTTTGAAACATTTTTTTACTTCTTTTGCCATCTGTCGATAATAGTCTTTAACATCTTCTGGTTCATTTTTCCATGAAATGCTGACAAATTTAGATACATCTTTACTTAAAAGATTAAATTTTGCAACTACGTGATTATATTCTTTTCGATAAATCATAAACGCATTCATTGTTTGGTTTACATTCTTAATGTCATTGTTTATATGAATTTGTACAATTTCATCTACACTAATAGATGGAGGAAATGGGATATTAATTATGTTTGTAGTATTTTGGTAATAAATATCAAGTGGCATATTTAATTAAAATTGTAATTTGTTATTCAAGAAGAGAGGTCATTTATTTTTTTTTTATTGAGAATTTTCCGAAATTAATTAATTATATATAAATATGTTTAATAGATTCTAAGAGAAGAAAAGAGTAGCGGAATCGCAAAATAAAATTGATGCCTTAATATGCAATAGAAAAAGGTGTTTACTTTAATTGATTTTAGAGAATTATTGTTTTGCAAATCGCGATTTTTGTATTTTGTTATTTGGCGCAAGATTCGAATGTTCTCTTAAATATCTTTTTGAAAAGTGTTGACGTATATTATTTATCTTTAATATGAGTGACAATCATAAAAGTGATGCAACATTAGGAGATTGTGTTCCTTGGAAAAATTACTCAGTCGTAATAAAGGTGAGCTGAACAACAAAGAATAAATAAATTTTATGTAAAAAATAACTAAAGAAAAAAGATCGAGGAATTTCGACCAGCGTGTCGATAAGTATTATAGTAATTAGTTATTAGAGTAATTAAATACACACTCAAATAACGTTTTCTTTACGAGGTATATAATATATATTATTTGTTCTTTAGCATGTTGTTATTTACACTTTTGCTAAAGCCTTATTTTGCTTGACTGAGAAAAAAGGGCGGTTTTTTATAAATTTTTCACAAAAATACTTGTGGTACGAATTGAACCAATCAATCACTTAACAAGATAAAGGATTTGATACAATTTACAGTGTTCATTGTTCATTGTGTGATGGAATAATGCCTTAAGTCTTAAAAAGGTAATACCAAAGGATTTGTTGGGATATATATATACTATATGTATACTTTTAATACTACCATGTTTAGGCTTTAATTATTATTATAATAAAAATAAACACATCTTAATCTGAACGTTCTTATTTTGCTCAACAAAAGTCTAAGTACCGTAAATGTATATTTGTGATATGTTTGTGATAAAATTAATTTAATTTAAATATTCGGATTTTACTACTTTTTTTTAAAACTCTTGTTCGCTTTTTAAAATTACTCTGTAATTCTGCAAAAGTGGAAATTAATTATTAAAATAGTTGTATATACAGTCAATATTTATTTTTGCTGCATAGATTTATGAATCATAAAAAATCACACAGTTGTGATAACTACTTTTGATTTTAAAAATGTATTGTCAAATATTTATTTTCGTTATTAATATAATATAATTTTAAAACTAATAATTTAATATATATGTGCCTCATCAGCGACCCAGTGAGTTTCAAATATTATTAATTTTTTAAAAATTAAAAAGAATACAATTCTTTAAAATTTTATTTAAAATAATACAAATTTTCTTATTTTTTAATAATATCTAAATACACGTTTTAAAGTGTATGTGTACAAATTTTGAGGGTTCTAGCTTATACTTTTATTAATCCAAATTTTTGTGCAGCAATAAAGCATACTTTTTATATAATTAAAGTTCTTTAATAATTTTTCACGTAATTTTATATTTAATAAATTTCAAATTAAAAAAATAGTTTATATCTCAGAATTGTTATAAATTTTTTTTTTATTCTTTTGAATAAAAATTAAAAAAGTTCTACAAAGAATTAATAATTTTCAATTAAAGACAAATCTAATTGTAAGTGATCATTTTGATCCATATTCAATAGTTGATGTGATAGTTGGTATCAAGAGATTTAGGCTGGAGAATTTTGGTTCATATATAAGTAGCCTGTGTATGAAGAATTTTGACCCATATTCACAGGTTGA